CCCCTGCTCCCCCAGCCCCCCCTCACTCCGAACCCACAGCCCCTTTCCCCCCCAGCCCTGCAGCCCACTGCCCCGCCCCCAGCCCTGCCAGTGCCCCTCACTCCTGACCCGCAAACCCTGCTTCCACCTCCCAGCCCTGTTGTCCAAGCAGCGCGCGCGCACACACACACACACACACACACACACACACACACACACACACACACACACACACACACACACACAGTCTCTCTACCGCCTTGCCGGGGAGCATGTGACCCTCAACAGCCAATCACGTTGCCCACTGCTTCCAGGCCCAAGCAGCCAGTCCAGAAGAACAGAGGGAACAGCAAAACCCTGGACATTTGCTCTTATTTTAAGAACCGGCCCGGACACAGCACAGGGGGCCAAAAAAGAGGACATGTCTGGGAAAACCCAGATAAGGTAACCCTACCTTCTGGTTACTTCAGGAAAATACTTTGGAAAACATTTTTCTCTACTTACCAGCTTGTGCTGGAAACGTATGCCCTTGATGAGATGGGCTGGGGTTTGAAGTTATTGTTGGAAAGGGAACTGAAAGCTGTGCATTTAGTAGCTGAAGTCGCTCCTTTTTTGCAGTTAGGCTTTTAATCTGTTCCTCTAGCCGGCGATTTTCAACTTGAAGTTGGTGTAATGACTTCAGCATTCCTAAAACTAGAAATCAACTAATAATTATAATCACTTGTAGTCACATTTATGGTATTTTTCTTTATTGCAAGAGTATTCCATAAATGTGCTAAAATTTTCAATGGTGGTTATATTCTTCAGATCACTAGTTACACAATCAATACTGACCATTAACAGAGCTTATTTAAAAGTAAAAATCTACCCAACCAATTAATGAAAACACATACTCATATATAGTCAACTCTTCCCTTCTGAAGCCAGACATGTACAATTTCAAATACGGATACATATAGCAAAAAGGTCACAGTTTGACAATTGCTGTTTTTCCGTTGGGTGCATCGTTGCTTCTGCATAGACAGTTCACCATCAGGTTTTGTGTTCATTTTGAGCAAATTTTAGTTCAATATGTTTTCTGCTAACTTGGTCTTTGAAACAAAAGTAAAAACAAGATTCTTTTAATGACAGACAAGTCAGCAGAGCAGCTGTGAATTGTCTATTCTGCATGGGTTATAGAGTTCAACTACAACTCTCAAAACAGTAAAAGGCCTGAAACGTATTGCTTTTATGTAATGAACTAATACTGTTTTGTTGGGTTTTTTTTAAAGGAAATTATGTGAAAAAGGGACTGCTCTGTTATGCAGACAACAGAAAACTTTTTTCCACACTTTTCTTAATAGGTTTTTAAAAGCATTATTAGTTGACAAAGTCAACTAAATTGCAAATTTATATAATCAATGAAAAACTTTTACCCCATTTCTTTTATTGCTTTTGAATCAACATGCACCTTGCTGGAGGCCATATCTTCCAGTTGCTTTCTGTGTCAATCTATAGATCACCCAGCAGGGAGCACTATGTGAGCACTGCAGTTACCACCCCTTCTTTGCCAATAAAGCGCATCATCTTGTGAGCAGGCCCAGCTTCTACCATGAACATTTCCTTAAATTCTGATTTTGTTTCAGAACTTGGATGTCCCAAATAGTCCTAGAGCATGGTTGTACTGCCACAGGGACAGCCACTTTTTAATTCTAAATGATATTTGTTTAACATGACCTCTGGGCCTACTACAGACATAAGTCTACTGGTATAGGCACATCTGGTAATTTCCCAAGGATTTAGCTTTTATCCCTCCTCTTCAAAAACATACAAAGGAACCCTCAGTGTGCCCAAATGAGATGCAATAAGACTTAGCTAAACCTGTCCTCCAGCTATCATGTTTAAAGGATTATCCCTGCATGAATTTCCTCACAATTAGCATTTTTGTCAGGGTACCATTCATAAAATTACCAACGAGATGGCACTTCACTAACCATCGCCACCACGCATAAATTGTTCAATAAACTACACACACACACAAATGATACAGTATAAAAATAATTTGATCTAAAACTATTTAATCAAATGTGACGCTATTGATCTATTGCTGTTTATTAATAACGTCAATTAAAAATCTATTTTTTCATTTACTCTGTCATCTTTTATTTTCAGCTATTTCATTTTGTCCAACAACTCTTGAAAATACAATCATTAACTCAAAATGGGAATTTCCTAAGGAATGTAGAATATAAATGAAATACAAAGGTGATACAGGGGGCCTGCACAATCTTTGTAAAATATGCTATTGTTTCTCACAACAATGGAAGTGGGTAGCTTACATTTAACGTATAAGAAATAAACCTCTGAAAGAAATGTCTCAGTTTGTCATCTGGCATCCCATAATATGAAGCAGAACTGAGTTTTGCCTTTACAATAACCAAGTATTTAACATTCATGGCAGTATGGCCTAGTAAGTAGAGCATAGGCCTGGGATTTGAAAGACTTGGGCTAATTTCCTTGCAAATGACCTGTTGGGTAATCTTGGGTATGTCACTTCCTCTGTGCCTCAGAGCCACCATCTATAAAATGGGGATAATGATACTGACCTCTTTCATGAAGTGCTTGGAAATTGAAGGAAAGTGCTGCATCAGAGCTTAGGTGAATAATATATGCAGAAGTAATATATGCAGCATAAAATGAAAAACAAGTCATTATAAAACCTTAGACAACCACTGAGTGACAGTTTATTCATAATGCTGTCCAACAACAAAATAGTAATATGAGAAAATGTAACTACTTACTGTCACTTGGGGTGCCCTGCTCTAATAAAAATTGTTGTCCTTCACTCCACTGCCGCTCCAAAAGCTGTTCTATGCTGGCAGCTACTGGGGGCAAGTTTTCCACACTACTGTTCCCCAACTGATCATAGCGAATCTGTAAGCTGCTTACAGGCGATCTGTTGGAAACATTGCAATTTACATGTTTAAAGGATGGAAAAATAACTAATTAACCAAGGGTTGATAAAATTTCTTACCTTATGTTGGCCCCTAGCACCTACCACCCACAACTTTCTACACTAAATTAAAAATAAAAAAAATCACTGTTTTCTCATTATCCAGAATTTAACAAAAGACCAAAATACTTCAGCTTCAAAATTTGCTCAGGCAAACTAATGTAATAATTAGATGACAAAGAGTATTTCCCTCATTTGTATAGCACAAATTTCTAGAGCAAGAAATAGGGAACTAAAAGATCTAGACAAACCTGGAAAATAAAATATGAACCCAGATTAAAATTACTGCAATAATGAAACTTGGAGTATATAGGTCCAACCTAATTCTGTTGTTTGATTAGCTCCAAAATCCATGTAAACATTTTTGAGCGACTGAGAAGTATTAATTCATTAAAACAAGACCATTAAAGAAGTACGCAAAAGTTCAAATTAACAAAATTCAGACTGTCTATCCAAACCTTACTTTGCCCCTTTGCCATATGCATTAATGTACTGCCTTTGAATGAACATATATTGCACGTTCCATAGGCTCTGTCTCATTCAAGGAAAACCCACCACTCTGCAGAGGGTTGTTATAGGGTCTATCTACCCCTTAAATGCTATTTCAAGGACTTCTTCCTCATCAGAAAAGGTAAAATAAGTAATAAGCGAACAGAACAGTTTCTCAAAGTATCTTGTTAACTCCATAATTAAAGCGCATGGCTCTATGCTTCATTGAGAGAGTCAGATCCAAGCCCACTGCAGTGAACTAGTATCCTTTTTAGTTTAATAATCTATGGCTCAGGTCCTCGCTTATTACTTATTTATATTGTGGCAGCAACAATGGGCCCCAATTGAGGATCAGGGCTCAACCGTTTTAGGTCCAATAAAAACAGACACAAAAAAGCTCTTAAGTTCCAAATAAAGACAAAGGAAAACAGGTGGATAGACACAAGGATCAGACAGTCAATTGTGATTGGTGTAACAAGCAGTGGTCACTGTACATTAGATACCTAAACAACAGCACAGGTAATTTTTAAGGAAACATTCAGATGATAGATAATCCAATAGTTTTGTAGATTTGTACAGGTTGCTCCTCAAAATGGACAACAACAGTTAGACATCACTCTGGGCAGCGCAGTAACAAGAGATGACAGCTCAACAGCATGTATAAGACATAGGGAAGGTAGGCCAAAACCAGTCTCAAAAGTCACTATGAAGTACAGTAGAGTCAATTATCCAGACACCAATTACCCAAACACTGGATGTGCTCCCAGCTTGTCTGGTATCTGATACAAGTGAAAGGAATGATGACTAAAAGATAGAGATTTGTTTTAACAATTAAGAGAAAAAAATAATCAGCAAACTGAAAATGTGTATATATATATATATATATATATATATATATATGGTCTCTCTCTTATATGTATACATGCTCATTTAATATGTGGTTCATTAACCAAAACAAAACAGGGTTTAGTCCCAAAATTACTTCAGTTCTGTGAGGACAGTATCAGTTATCTGAAGTGATGGGAAGTGGCTACTTTGTATAGAATCCCCTACTTAAACAAACAAACAAAACATTATGCTGCACTAATATTTTCTAGACAAGATGACAGGATTAGAAAGCTCTGTACTGTGCATGACTGAAAACAGAAGCCCTTACCTCATTCTATGAATACACAGTTTTATAACTTGCTTCTCATCCTCTTCCATAATTGCTTCTTAATTTCTTGTAAGGTCAGAGTGTAATTGTTTACTTTCTTAGCCTAACTCCATTTATACAGGAAGATACAGAAATGTTCAAAACTATTTCATACAGTTTTTAGTGTAAATAATGTTCTGGTTTTTAGATTTAAAATGTGCTTTATCCGTGGAAAAAGTAGAGATTCCTTGGCAAAAGGAAATTCATTTATGTGCTATGCACACCAATATTTATCTTTATGATGTTTGGTTATATACGTGTGTGCAAGTCTAAACAGATACACTTATTGAAGCATGGCATAAATATAATATTGCTAGGAATCCTGAATGACTACACAACTCTTAAGTGAATTACACACGTCACCCTAAATAAGTTCCAAAAATATTTCTATACCACTCTATTTAAATAAAAAATGTTTTAAGACTCAAATAATTTCCTGTAAATAGATTATTTAGTTGAGAGTCAAACTATGTATGGCACGGCACAAAGGGAGAGAAAAATATAAAAAACTAATAATTGTAAAAACCTGTCATGTATTTAATTCTGCAAATTTTATATATAATAAATTCTGCATCTCATACTAGTGTAACTTTGAGGGATGGATGGGGGGTGCTATGGAATTCCACATTTTGCGGAGTTAAATGAACTTTTTTATATTGTCTTTTTAATGAACAGCAACTATACAGAGTTGCTCAGGATTTCAATGTTATAAACAGTCCCAGGAGAGATGGATCAGCTGATAGAAAATACATTAGATAAATAACGGTTATATAGCTCTTTATTTAGGCAGGGTAAGTAGCTAAAATTGCTGGTTGCCAAATTTAATCAGTTGACAATTTTCCAAGTTGAACATCTTTTTTAAGGGTTTTTTCTAGTTTTTTTAATATCACCTAAAAACCGCAAAACTTATTTTCCCTAGTTAAAACATTTTGACAACTCTTTCTTTGGAAAGCTCTAGTGCCACTATGTGCTGAAGCAGGAACTTGAAATGTGGCTCATGGTGGTTACGTATCAAGCATGTCCCTTTTGCCACCCCCTGTGAAATACCTGTGCAATTTAGCCAAATAAGGAGCCTCTGTAAAAAAAAAAATTCACAGTTCACGCATGCTCAATGGAAATTTTGGATTTAAGCATCTAAATACCCCAGAGTCTGTCTACACTGGGGCTAAACTTATATTAGAGTTCTGGGTTACTGTGAGCCATGTAAAGTCCAGATAAAAACACACAAAAGAGAAGCGATATGAGATATAATTATCGTCCCACAGTGTATACACATAATGGGGCTGAATTAGGTACAGTTAGGTTTTGACATATCCTAACTATTGATTACTTTATCCTGCAATCTTGATAATGCTCTTTTAACTTTGCTTTTTTTGGATAGAAGCACATATAAACTAATAATCTAATGGCCTAGTTTTCAGAAGTGAAAATGGATATGGTTTCCATTTATTTCTCTCGGAATTGTGTGTGTAAGCACCCTTAAAATCATTTCATAATGTTAATCACATTTGCTTCACAGATTACCTGTGTACGCAAGGAAATGTAACAGCACCCAACAGTATAGAAATGGACATGACTAAGTTTTATTTACTATAACTTTCTACAACAGTCCCTTAGACTGTAACAGTAGAATAGAGTTACAATGTTCTAGCATTATAACGAACTCAAGAGCTGTATTCTGCAATCCTGAGCAAAATTCCCAGTGATGTCAGCCCCCAAGTAAGGAGCACAACAGCATCTTTAAGATAAGAAAACTCATACAGAAATGTATCCAAAACAAGTACATTTAAACTTAAAAAAACCAACACCACACAATGTTCCATCTCAATTAAAATACTTAAAAAATTCCACTATTACAAAAAATATTCAAATACTATTATTTAAAAACATGTTAACAGCAACACTTACAAATATGATATGGACACGCAATTCTAGCCAGAGGATTTTGGTATCAAATTTCAATACAGCAATCACATTCACAAGAAAATAAAATGTGATTTTTGGGAACAAATTTGATACATTTTTCCTTTTATATAAAAATATGTGTTCCTAAATATAATTTGGCTTTTATTTTCCTTAAAAGTCAAATTACCATAATTTTGTAATCAGGAATTTTTGTGGGGGGAAGGGACAGGGGAGGGTATAATATGAATTATACTAGCAAAAACAGGTATACAGAAAAGCTAATATCACATAAGAATAAAAATAAACAAGTCACTTTCAAGTTTCCTCCTAAAGCCATTCTTTCAATGTGCAAACCAATTCATTACTATTTCAGTAAATTTAAGAAGAGTTTTTAACTGCTTGGATGCACAAATTATCTACATAATTCTTTAGAGTCTTAACAAACATGCACTACTGATAAAAGAGAAAGAAGTTTCCAAATCTTAAAACGGTTCCTTTGCTTGCACTCTGCAATGTAAATAATGCTTACCGTGGTGAGAGACTTCCTCTGGGTGAACCTCCCCTGCCAAGGCTGCGGCTATTATCTCCAAGATCTTGATCTGCAGTGTAAATATTTCACAGCTGATAAAGGGACTCTTATTAGATAAGAGTTTTAAAAGCTGCTGTAGATATTATAAAATATATTAAACTTTAACCACTACCTGCAGTTACTACTGAAGACTGAACATGTAGCTAGTTTAAAATTGCTGAACTGTAGCATGTAAGGTGTTGTCCTTACACATTTCTGTGGGTGTTGCAGGCCATGGATTATGTTCACTTCTTTTATTCTTTTCAGTTTTACAGCATAGAAGCGTGGTTTGCATTTGCAGCACCCTCCCCTCAGCCACTTTTAATTTCTACGGTGAAAGTAATGAATCACAGCTGTGGACAGCTAATCTGTATGCTTATCACAGCAAATCCTGATGCTTTGTATTTTTTTTAACACTTTGCATCCCAAGACAACTCATAAAATATACAATGTATTAACTTACCACCACAACTAACAGTTATACATTGTTCTAAAAATATACTGAAAATATATTATTAAGCTGTTTACTTCATACATTGCTATTGATGATAAAGAAAAGCATAGGAAAGATTCTTGCTAAAAGGTAGTAAAAAAAACAAACAAAAAGCCCTCATTAAATATACAGAAACGTTTTGCTGGGAAGGACTGAAAAGGGTTATTTTCCCTATGGCCTCTCAATAAAATAACCCTATCTGCCCCCTTCAAGGTTGCCCTCCCCCTATTCTGAGTCAAGTCACCTCTGACCTCTTAGAGGGCAAAGACATGACTGATCCATTCTTGGTAAACTGCTAAACTCATTCCCTTCCCCCAAACGGGCATGACTACTAGGACATGTCAACAAATCCTTAAGGATGGAATGAAACAAAGCAAATCCAGTGCCTCATTAAAACTGCAGAAGAGACCAATGTTACAAAATGTCAATTGGTAAATATTCACAGGATTACTAAACACTGTAGAAGTTTTCTAACAGGATCTCTTTCATGCAAAGTTGTGTGTAATACAATTTCATGAATTATGCAAATAAAGGTTTAAACTATTCACGACAAAACCCAAAGCTATGTTACTTTCATTGCAAAGAGCTGAGAACTGAACACATCAATCACAAAAGTCACAAGAGACATTGTTGCATCCCTGCCTGCTGATGGCTCTGCTTAAACATTTACATTTCAGACAGTAAAAAATGCATAGCTATTTTGCGGTACAACAAAGAATTTAATTTCCAACATGTAACAACTGTATACAGTGGTTTACTAACTAAATCCTGAAGCAAGAGTTCAGAAATAAAAACAGCAATCTTATTCGAAAAATTTGAAGTCAGGAAAACAGGCAGAGGTTTGGAACAGTTCTAGCAAGCTTACCTGCTTGACTGTTTTCAGACTGAGCTATAAGTGCTGCCATTGATGAATTAGGATTCAGTCTATTGCCATACATGTGGGATGACGGCAGACTGAGGGAAGATCCAGGTAGACTGTTTGCCTGTAAGACAACAATTAAACTAAAATCCTTAAAACAACGTCTGGAAGAAAATCTCTTAAAATATTTGAAGGCAGGATTCCTAATAAGTTATGTATTTTTCTATAAAAATAACTAACAATTAATTACTATTTTAAATTTCACTAGTGATTTTCAAATCAAATTGAGAAAAGGGTAACACAGCACCTCTGAACACAACAGCTCTGAACATACTGAAGTTTAAAATGTATTTTATAATTTTCTTTCATATTGTTAAGCAAAAAGCCAATATTAAAAAAATGTACTGTACAAATATGTTAAAAATGTTTCACTGGAAACTTTAAAGTGATTGGCATATAGGAGGATGTACGGACTTGCTTACAATTCCGAAGTATGCAATCAATGCTAGGACTTAATAACATGGCGACCATGTGGTTATCTTACTAATTATTTAATCTTATTAAACCATTTACAAAATAAGGGCAGGTAGACAACAGATGTCTCACAAATGCTTGGGTTCCTTACATCACAAGCCGGCTGTGGAGGTCAAAAGGTCCAACTTTCAGCTCTATAGTTTAAATACGCAGAGCCATATTTCCTTTGCTCTAGTCTGTCATTAGTAAAACCTGCACAGTATTTTGTTACTTCCTATTTTGATAGACTTGGAAGCCTGGTGGTTTTTTTGTTTTGTTTTGTTTTATTTTAAAGAAAGCATCCAGCCATTACAAGTATGTTTTCTATACAATACAGGGCTCAACGAATCACAGCTTTGCCCTGACCCCATATAAGGAACTGTATTTTTGGCAGTAGGCCAGCTCTACTTACTGAAGAGCTCGTCCAAAGTTTGTGTTCATTCATGTTGCTAACCACAATTCTGAAGGTCTTTGCTGGGACTTGTGCCAAACAAGTGAAAATGAACCCTTAAACAGATGAAGCTAAGGAGGCTGGCCAAAATCTTGCATAATCCAATGCAATAAAAATACCTTCTTCCTTGGCTGCATATCTTTCTCCCTTTCGAAGAACAAATCTTGCTTAAGTACGGAATTTTGGAAACACACTATCACACACACACACGAAGTGCTGCCACTGATGGAAGATTTTGCATTCGCCTTCCATTAAAACACTTTCAGAATGAAAAAATAGATTTTATGTCTGTGCTCTTATGCTTACAGAAAAACAGTTAAACAACCTGTGAGATTATATACATAATACCCTTAATATGCACATTTTAGAAACATGTCAACAAGAGTTTTAGAAGAAAAAATGCTTATTTTTTGAAATACAAAAAAAAAAGGTGAACAGCAAAGAACTCAAGTTGCAGGACATTTTGACATGTATAACTGCACACAAGAGACAAGAGAAGCATACTGGTTATTACAAGAAAAATATTATAGACTACAAACTGTGTCTCTGGAAAAAATCATACACTACCATTAAGTTTTGGCTTCTTGCCAACATATTAAATGTGATTAATGGACTTTTATAAATTCATACAACTGTTTTCAATGTGCTATATTTACTGTATACTAATGCAAAATCATGTTGAATACTTGCATTCAAATTTTTCTATTGTTACATAAAATGTTAGAATGACCACAGCTTAAAGAAATAGGAAATTATATAAGAAAATGTTTTGTTTCAATTGTCATTTCAACAGATACCAGAACATACAGCCCTAAACACACACGTTCACTAGGAATGTAAAATCTGACCCTTGTTTCAGTATCTACACAATTATATTATATTTCTGCTGGAATGAATGTGAATAAGTCATATAGCATTTAAAATACTGTAGGTCTTTTCTTTTACCTGTTTATGCCAACACAGCCCTGAAATGTAGCACATAAGTACAGTGACACTTACTGATGAAGGCAGGCAACACTGAACAGCTCCTGCTGTTTTCCTCAATAAACACCTATAGCATGACTCCAACTCAACCATTATTAGTTGCTAGTAACCTTTAAATTCTTTTTTTCTCAAAGAAATAATAGGGAAAAATTTCTGTTTAAATCCTTCCACTAAGAAAACTTTAACAAACAGAAACTTAACTAAATACTGTCTCTACCCCCTATTTTAAAAAATAAGAACAAGGAAGTAAAACACCATTAACTTTAAAATTTAATTGCAGCAGGTATAAGTTATGTGAATGCATTTCTGCCCTTTAGTAAATGCAATTGATGTTGTATTGGTTTTTAAGTTTAGGAAGTTTAAAGCACCACCTTTTTTAAGACTGTGAGGCTGACTTCTATGGCAGACTGAATTTATTTCCTCATACTGTTATATAACTCACAGGGAGATTAATAAAAACCATGAAACTTTGTATGTCTTAGGTTACAATGAAGTGTATACCTTAGCGCAGAACTGCAATAACCAGCAAGGACAGTTTGTTTAGTTAACTGAAACAAGCACAGAGATTTTCGTAAGTAGATCTAGATGAATTTAGTTAAAATTATCTAAGAATCTTGAAAGGAGTAGCAAGTCTCTCTTGAGGAACCATCAAAGCACAAAACAAAGACATCAAAGAAATTAATGTTTGCTAAATGGGCTGACATACTAGATCAAAAGGGTTGGCATAATTTAAGCAATATTTAAAAATGTGAGGATTTTCACAAGTGGTGGTTCACTGCCTAAGTGTATAGCCCTGTTTACATTTTAAATATTTAAGGCTTCCTGTGACGTAAGCTATAACTACAGAATTCCTAGTCACATCACATACCTAATTCAACTCTCTAAGGAAAAAAGTCACATTAACAAAATTGCTCAAGTAGCTGGAGGTAAATTTAAAAACTTAGAAGTGTATTCTTTCAATGAGGACAAAAAGTGGCATGAATATGGATTTGAAAAACATGACTATGTATATGACAACTACATCTGACAGGAAAGTAAGGAAGGTATTAGAGTACTGCATTATTTAAAGGTGAAACAGGAGCTTCATGTTTCACTCACAGTTGAAACAGGCTGTAGCAAGCATTTATTAAAAATGCGCAATCATCCTGTCAATACACATTAAGGTCACCAGATTGAAACTTGTTCTCAAATGCAGCATTTTTAAAGCTGTAGTATTCTATATTTCAGCTGATCCTATTTAACAGCCTACATGCAACACATAACTAAAATGTACTTGTACAAATTCTAATAAAAGAGATAATTAAACATTTTATATTTATTTATTTATTTATTTATTCATTCATTCATTGTATATAAATACAGACATCTTCCTCAAAAGGATTCCAACTGGAAAAATTAGGTCCAACTGGAAGTATGCAGTATTTGTTTTCATATAGGAAAATCAATAAAGCAACCAAGCTACACACAGTAAAGCTAGCTATTTCACTATCATTCAAAAAACAGCTGACTACTACAAAATGATGGACATTTTGACTGACCATCTAATGTATTTATCATATAATATAAAGGCTAACCAGATATATCTTTTAGTTTTGTTGATAATTATTCAAGTAGAACAATTATATGTGAACAAAATATATACTTTGTGAAATGTTATAACATTTATATTGCTTCAGAATAATGTAAAAATTACACTATTTTGCATAAATAGAATTAACATTTGCAAAATTTACAAAAAAATATTTACTGTCATGATTGGACTAAGTTGATATTCCAGGAAAAAAGTTTTTCTCTTTAAAATAAAGTTATAAACAGCTGCCAGTGAAGTCAAAGAGAATAGAACAACAATATTTACATTAGAAGGGTTTTAAAAATTTGAGTCCCCAGGAGAGTGCATATTCCCCTGATCCTTTCAAGTTTTATGCTATGAAATATTTTCTGATAACAGGCCCCATTTCTGTCTCAGCTCCACACCAGTAAGGTTTTAATACTCAGCGTGTGATGAGAGATGAAACCAAGTGTGAACAACTTTCAGGTCCCATGAGTAGGCTGACTGTTGAAGCTGTCAGGTTCAATTGCATCATTCGACATTATTCAATGCCCCAAACTGCTCCCTAATTGTTAGGGGCTTAACATATTCAAAACCATTGTTTAGGCTAATGCTGAAATGCCTACAGTTGAGTTTCCATAAAGAAAGGGGAGGGATTTAATTGTAGTTAAACCATTACTGAACTCTCCTTCATTCATGATAGGACAACATGGATGAGCTGAACAACCAGTTCCAAGACTGCTTCTTAATCAGTTAATATCTAATCAATAAATCTCTTCCTTTTTGACTGAAAAAAAATCATTGCTAGTACTTTAGAACCAAAAATATTATGATGATTCTTTAAAGTAAATGGAAAATCATTTCATTGCTTACTTGAGTCCAGAAATATATCTCAAATGTTATCTTCATTTAAAATAAAAATATATTCTTACTTCTGTTTTAAGTTGCCTGCACCCCTCAACTACATACAACAAATTGATACAGTTTAAGCTGTAAATATTTAGGAATGCTATTAGTTTGCTCATATTTCAATGCAAGTTCTTTGACAGAAAGCACCAATAACCTCAGAAAGTTCAGCTCCTGTTGCTGTTTATATGAATTAAAAACAATTCAGGTGACCATACAACACTAATTTTGTAACAAAGTATTTCTACAAATAAGCTACACCAAACTTGGTGTAGGGTTTTTAAAGCACACAACAATGAAAAATTGCAGATGTAATCTGTTTAAGCATTAAGCAGGTTTTAAAAAATGACAGGATATGATTGGATATTTTTCAAATAACTGATCAGTTTTGCAGAATGAAGATCTGTAGTTAAGGAAGGAGAATACAGTCATCTTGGAAACTGACAACATAGTATAAATCACTGGCAAATACTGCTTATAACAAATGCAATATTAATAGCTAAGTCAAAATTAAAATAAAAAGCTATATTGTGATGAAAATTAATTTAGTAATAACTAAGATCATAATGCAATAAAAATATCTATGAATGATGTACACAATCTGAACTCAAAAATACCAAACACTTTTTCTGTGAAGTGCAAACCTTCCTGTCTTTAATTATGCAAGAGTAATTATGAGAAATTTAGAAAAAGAAATAAAACTGTATCTGTGAGAATGTCT